CAAACAAAGAAGAGGAGAATTCCTTTCCCCTGAGCACACAGGGGTGGTGACAGGTGCACACTGTTCAGGTGACCTAGGTGGTAGAGGAGGTCACTTCAGCCACAAATACTCACAGTGACATCAATGAGGTAAGAGTCCTCGGCAAGTTAACAAGTGCAGTGCAGCTCCTTCAGGCCTCACTTGTACCTCAAACTTATGAGGAATTTCCCACAGTGTATGTTCAGACAAAAGGGGTTTCTATTCAGGCAAATGGATTTAAGTCTCCTGCAGTGTTGTAGCGTGAGAAAGGTAAAAGGTCCCCTGCACATTTAAGGCTTTGCTCCAATGTGAACGCTCAGATGTCTAACAAGGCTACGTTTTCTGCTAAAACATTTCCCACATTTACTACACTCATGAGGCCTTTCTCCAGTGTGACTTCTGTGGTGCTCCATGAGCGAACGTCTTAGTCTAAAGGACTTTTCACAATAACTACACTCATACGGCTTTTCTCCAGTGTGACTTCTCTGGTGGTCTGTTAGCAAACATCTTTGTTTAAAGGACTTTCCACACTCACTACACTGATAGGGCTTCTCTCCGGTATGAACTCTGTGGTGTTGAATGAGGTTCCCCTTTAGTCTAAACAACTTCCCACAATCACTACATTCAAAAGGTTTTTCACCACTGTGAATTCTCTTGTGTTCAGAGAGGTGTAAGCTTAATCTGAAGGACTTCCCACAATCAGTACACTCATGTGGCTTTTCTCCAGTGTGAATTCTCTTGTGGTCAAGGAGTGTAGGCTTTCTCCTAAAAGATTTCCCACAATCAGTACACATATAGGGTTTTTCTCCAGTGTGAACTCTCTTGTGGATATAGAGCCGATTATAGCTCCTGAAATTTTTACCACAATCAGCACACTCATAGGGTTTTTCTCCAGTGTGAACACGGTGGTGCTCAGTGAGTTGAGACCTTTGCCCAAAGGACTTTCCACAATCACTACACTGAAATGGCTTTTCTCCAGTGTGAACTCTCTTGTGGTTAACAAGCCCATTATAGCTCCTGAAAGATTTATCACAATCAGTACACTCATAGGGTTTTTCTCCAGTGTGAACACGGTGGTGTTCAGTGAGGAGAGACCTTTTCCTGTAGGACTTTCCACATTCACTACACTCATACGGTTTTTCTCCAGTATGAATTCTGTAGTGTTGAATGAGGGTTGTCTTTTGTCTAAACAACATCCCACAATCACTACATTCAAAAGGTTTTTCACCACTGTGAATTCTCTTGTGTTCAGAGAGGTAACAGCTTCTGTTGAAGGACTTCCCACAATCAGTACACTCATATGGCTTTTCCCCAGTGTGAACTCTCTTGTGGATAAGGAGAGTACTATGTCTCAAAAAAGATTTCCCACAATCAGCACACTTATAGGGTTTTTCTGCAGTGTGAACACTAGGGTGTCCAGTGAGTTGAGACGTTGGCCTGAAGGATTTTCCACAGTCACTACAATGATATGGCTTTTCTCCGGTGTGAACGGTCTTGTGGTTAAAGAGAGTACTATTCCTCCTAAAAGATTTCCCACAGTCATTACACTGATAGAGCTTTCCTCTAGTGTGAATTTCTCCATGTCGAATGAGATGAAAAATTTGTCTAAAAACTCTCCCACAGTTGTCACACTCATATTTCACTTCTCCAGAGCAGGCACCCTGATGCTGAACAGCTTTCTGGTTTTGGCTGCCAAATATTTCACAGTTGCAAGTCTGCTGAAGACTTTTTCCACTGACAAATTCCTGTGAAACCTCACTGCCACTGTGTGGCCCCTCAGTGTTGAGAGGGGCCTGGTGCTGCAGAAGCTCTGAGATGTCTGGAAAGACATTGCCATCCTTTCTATTGGTTGAAAGCACCCAAGATGAGAAGCTGCTCCTGGTCATAAACGAGGCCTTGTCCACAGCTTCTCTCCAGGGCGTCTCTCCAGGGCCATCCCTCTGTTGCAGGTGCGAGTTTGCACTGAAACAGAAGTCTCTCACACATGCGTCACTAAAGAAGGCTTTCTGTTCAAAGTCTGCTGCTTGTGACTCAGTCAAGTGCAGAATATCTTTTAACACAGAGAAACACTGCTTACACAGATGAGTCCTCTGTGTTGCTGGCTCTGTCTCAGAAGCCCTGACCTGTGACTCTCCTTGTACACATAAACTCTGCTCAGGACAGGCCTCCTCATCATCTGTTTTATGCCCGCAACCTGAAAAGAGAGAAATGAGCAGAAACTGAATGTTGACTGTGGTGACAGGGGAAGTTCCATTGCTAAAGTGTTTTGCACATAATACATGGGTTCTATGCAATTGTCAGAAAATAAGAAATGTGCAGGAAGGATATAAGAAGCTGCTGTGAAGGTCTGGGCCTCTGAAGGTCACAAAACAGGGAAGACCTCAAACAGAACCATGACACACACATGGCAAGGACCACGTGGAAGAGAAGATGCATTTCCAGCTCAGGCCTCTGCTAACAGTGCTGAGCAGGGCTGGTGTGCTGATGACAGGGGCAAACTGTGCAGAAGGATGGTTATGTCTTCTTCCAAGTAAAATTCAATAAGCAAGTAGCAGGTCTTTGAGGACTACTTAAGCATTTATGTGCACCTCATAACACATGTGCAGGTCCATGTAGGAGAATACTGCACAGTGAGCAGTGCCGAGGGACAGGTGGACAGGTGATGCAAAAAGGTAACAAAGGTGAAGGTGCCAAAAGCAAGGAAGTCACAGATGAAATGCAAGTCAGCAAAGCATCTAGGATGGGAAAGAGAAGGGAGAAATGGGGGTTGGCAAGTGGCACCTGCCCCTAAACCCTGTTGGATATTAGCTGGTTCCTGGTACCATCTGACTACCACCATTATGTGATACCTTCTCCCAGACCTCCTCTGAGAACCTCTTGCATGTCACCCTGTGAGGAAACCAGGTTTCTCCCTGATCTTCTACTCTACCAATGCATAAACCCTAACTATTCCAAGTATTAATGAAAGACAATGGAGGAGAGCAGCCAGCTCTGGCCCAGAGCAATTTGGACCACAATACTACTCAGCTAAGGTACTATTACAAAGAAGAATTGGAGAAGGGTCTTACAAGATTAGCCCATGGTTCATGTAAATGAAGAACATAACCTGGCACAGGCTGTCATAAAGCACCTTTCCCTAGAGGAAGGGGGAAGAAGGGAATGAATATGCATATTGTCACCCTCCCAGGGAGAGGAAGAGGAAGGTGGGACCCATTAACTGACTGTAAGACTCCGAATTTCCATACTCTTTCTGCACTTTTTGAGGCAATGGGTGTTCAGGGATGTTCATGGAGTCCATTCGTCAGGGCTCTCCACATAGCTCAGTACCGGCAGCCACAGCACATCTGACAAGACAGTGGCGGAAAGTAGCAGAACCCGTGGTCTGGCTGAGGGAGAGAGAAAGCTATGTTTTGAGAATAAAGGATGAAAGGGCATCACCTCAGGACATTGGGAAAATGTGAAGCTCTTACCTGCAGATGAGACAAGTGCAAACACTTCCAGCATTACATCGCAGTACAGAAGTCTCTGAGCCTCATCAAGGAGCCCCCACTCCTCCTGAGAGAAGGCAATGGCCACGTCCTCAAAGTCCATATCCTGTCATAATGGGGACAGTTCAGTCCATGATCAACTTCTCTCCTAGGCTTTACTTTCGTCATACTTCCCACTCTCCACATCCATCCGCTCCCTCCTCCCTCATCACAGAAAATAGCAGGCCTTGAGGAGAAACCAAGATGGCGGCATTGGTAAACACCAGAAATTGCTGCCTCCCACAACCACTTCAAAAATACAACTAAAAGACGGAACGGAAATCATTCAGAACAACTGGAAGGCTGGCTGAGTGGAAATTCTACAACTAGAAGGAAAGAGAAAAGCACACTGAGACTCAGAGGAGGTACAGAAGTAAAGTGCAGAGGTACAGAGGCGCATGTGGAAAGGGCTGGCAACTGAGGACACGGTTGTCTTTTTCAATCGGGAGGGAGTCTCAAGCTCTGAACTCCAGTTCCGGGTGAGTCTCTGGGGACCCAGACTCATATGGGGAGAAACTGGACTGTCTGGCATCGGGCAGAACTCGAGGGCGGCTTTCCCTCAGAGGTGCTTGCAGTGATTACCACGGGACACTGAGACCCCGGGCCTCTTAGGGTAGGACTGGGGAGCAGCCATAGCTGCTTGCTCCACCCTGATGATCCCCTGAAACCCCGCCCCACCCAAGCTGTGCACAGAGGCTTTTGCATATGAAAGGCCTGGCCCTTTGCAATCTGAAAATTACCTAACAAACTGCTGCTGGGTCAGAGAGACCCAGAACATCCAAAAGAAGGCCCAAGGCCCCACAGCAGCTTGCACTGCTTCACAGCTGGGCCTCATCTGGGCACCTCCAAACCCCAAACAAAGAAGAGGAATCTGCAGATCTCTCCATAGCTCCTGCTGGGTAGCCTCAGGCAGAGGCTAAATTAGCACCTCCTTAGAGATCCAAGAGCCAGTGTACCCAGTGGTCAGAGTGGGACCATCCAGATTACAACTCCTCAGATCCATAAGGGACACACTCAGGGGGCAGACTCAGTGAGCACCAAAGCCCCACTGAAGCAAGTCTTGCCCCAGAAGGGTGTCTCCAGCACAGAAGTTCTCCCACTGTAGACACAGCTGATTCTCACAGCCAATTGGCCTGGAGGTCAATTCCTCCCAGTGATAACTACAACAATCAAGGCTTAA